TTAATTTCTTATAATGCCTTCCTTGACTTATAGGCTATGTTTTTCATATATTTATGTATATGGATGTATTTCTTTAATTATCTTTATTTAGATTAACCACACACTTATCCTTTCTGTGTTCTTTATTCATTCAGCATCTCTAAGGTTTTATCTGAGTTAGTTTTCCTTGTGTCAGTCTTCTGGGTATAAACTTTCCATTTTTGTTAGTTTCAGAACTTTCTTACATTTCCTTCAGTCTTTTTTTTTTTTTTTTGAGGCAGAGTCTCATGCTGTCACCCTGGAGTGATGTAGCATCATAGCTCACAGCAACCTCAAACTCTTGGGTGCAAGCGATCCTCTTGCCTCAGATTTTCTATTTTTAGTAGAGACAGGGTCTGGCTTTTGCTCAGGCTGGTCTATTGCTTGTGAGCTCAAGCAATCTACCCGCCTGGGCCTCCCAGAGTGCTAGGATTACAGATGTGAGCCACTGTGCACAGCCTTCCTTTCAGTCTTTTTTTTTCTATTAAATCATAGCTGTATACATTAATGCATTTATTGGGTACAATGTGCTGAATTTATATACAATTTGGAATACTTACATCAAACTGGTTAACATAGCCTTCACCTCACTTCATAGATTTGAGATGGCAAAGAATTTTAGATTGGCATTTTCTTTCCATTATAAACCATTCTACTATCTTTTGGCACCCATTGATGTTGAAAATTCAGCTAGCAGCCTGTCACTTCTCTGAGGGTAATCTGTCTTTATTTTTCAAATCATTAAAATTTTTTCTTCATCTTTTGTTTTCTGTAGTTTTTTCTGTGATGTGTTTTAAGAGTGTTTGTATATGTGTATATGTGTATTTTCACTTTGCCTTAAATTCTTTAAGTTTCTTCAGTCTGTGTGTTGATATTATTTGTGGTTATACACAATCCTTAACCATTATCTCTTCTATTATCGCCTCTGATCTCTCTCATCATCTTTGTGACCATATGAAATATAAGTAGAAGTATATTTTGTGGTATTTTTCTTTGTCTCCCACCTTTCTTCCTGTATTTTGCAAGTTTTTTCTTCATACTTTGCTCTGTTTCTTCTGTCCACTCTTTCAGTCCTCTAATATTCTCTTCCACATTGTCTAATCTGTTGTTAATCTATTTACTGAATTTTTAATTTTATTTATATGTTTTAGTTTTATAGCTTCTATTTCCTTTTATAAACCTCCTGTGTTACTTTTTACTTTCATTTTCTTGCCACAAAGTTCAAGCTCAGCTTTTATGTTCTGGGACATAGTAAGCTTCATTGTTGGATAAGTTGTTTTGAATGATCTCAGGATATGAATCTTTGTGGGTTGCCATTACTATCCATTATTTTTGCTGGTTCTTGGTCAAAGTCTCTTACTTATTCATGTACCTCATTCATTTTCATTGTGCTGGGAATTCTGTTGAAAATTATTGGCCTGGGATGATGCTTTCTTCCTCCAGAGAGAATTTTTTATTTGGTTCTACTGGGCACTTTCTGGCATTAACAGCTTGAGGCCTATCTTAATCAAGGCTCAAGGCTTAGATTTTCAGGGCCACTTAGAGGTAAAGTCAGGATGCAAGTCTATGAAGGAACTGATTGCTTATAGTTCACCCAGCTCAATGCTAGAGAGTAGACTATCAAATTCCCCTGAATTCTGACTTGCTTTCACTGAGAGATATCATCTACATAAGCAAATGTCCTCAGGGCAAAGAGGACTGTGATTCTTGGCCTGATCTCTCTGAATTCTCATTCTTTCCTAGATCTCAGAGACATTCCCAACAATTTGGTTAATAATTTGATGCTTTCATGTGTTTTTTTTTTCACCTTACTTAGTTGTCTTCAATGGGAGATATCATGTAGTCCTCCATTAACTGAAGCAGAACTCTAACAATATATTTAAAACTCTTTTTATGTAATTTCTTAATACTTTCCATAAAGAGTTACCCTAAGGTGACCAGATTTTAACATTGGTAAAGTGGGACACCATTGACGACGGTGGGGATGGGGGGTGAGGGTGGGTGGTGGTGGGTGTTTTTAATTAAAAATTTGGTCTATATGGAGCAACAAAAATTTTCATAGAATGCAAAAATAGTATTGTAATATATTTTTTTAAATTTCAACATAAGTACAGTTTACAAATATAATACATTAAAAAAAATATGTATAGGGCAGCACCTGTGGCTCAAAGGAGTAGGGTGCTGGTCCACCTGGGCAACCTTGCCCAGGAGGGGAATAGGGAGTTTACATTAGCCTTCTCATTTCCAAATGAAGTTACATTAACCTCTTCATTCCCAAATGGAGTTACATTAACCTTTTCAGCGGCTGATATATTCCCTTCCCGTTGTCCCGCCGTTCCCTAGCTTGTCTTGCTTTCTTTCCAAAAATCGGGACTTTTTTAAAATGCCGCAGGACACAGGACAAATTGTTAAAAATCAGGACTGTCCCGCCATAAGCAAGACGTCTGGTCACCTTAAGTTACCCACCAATTTATATTCACACCAGTGGTAGAGGAGAATGTCCATATTTGCATTTTGATAGGTCAAAATGATGTTTTGTTTTAATTTGCATTTATTTTGTTATTAGTGTAGTCAAATATTTTCAAAAGTATGTTTACCCATTTTTTTTCATCTAGTCACTTTCTTTATTATTTCGTTTTCTTTAGGTATTTAGTTGTAAGAATTATTTACTTACTAAGGATGTTTACTTTTTTCATGTATTTGTAAATATTTCCCCAAATTTGCCTGTTTTATTCTGCTTATTGATTTTTTTAAATTTGCAGAACATTAAATTTCTGTCAGAGTAAGTTACATATAAACAAGAGGTAAGGCAAGAATGAACTCTTTAGTATTGGAATGGTGCTGGATTAGAGTTGGAGACAGCAGAATGACCTTATATTTGACTTATATGTATACACACACACACACACACACACACAGAGATAAATACAGAAGTAATTACAGATATATTTACATAGATGAGTAAGTACACTTACATATATTTCCTACCTCTGTCCACTTAAGAGAGCTGAAAGCAGTGATACTCCAGTAGTAATGAGCATATCTACCCCTAGGTCTTCATTTCTAAGTATCTTCCTCTAGTAGGAGCCCGGAGTTCCTTTAAGAAATGATGATTATTAGTTCTTGGACTGAGGCAGAGAAAATATAAGATAAGCCTGAAGCATATTAGAGTACTTGAACTTAAGGAAGTGTTCAAAGGAGGCATGTCAGAGACAAAAAGGAACCAACCTGAAACCATTTCCAACAGCCCAAACTGGAACAATTTCAGCAATAATAATAATAATAGCATGGTATTAGGTTATAACTCTAAGTATAAAATGTACATTTGTGTCCATACTGATATAAAGGAATAATTATACAAATAAATTTATATTTGTATATTTGTATAAATATTTGTATATTTATATTTGTATAAATAAATAAATACATGGAAGAGGGAAAGAAAAACCTTCCTTACAGAAGAATTCCAAGTACTAAGTGTAGATAATCTCCCTTCTCCCTTAACTGTGTGCTGGACTTGGTGACTCACTTTCAAAGAACAAAATATGGGAAGGAAAATTTAGTAACTTCACAGTGGAGAGAACTGACAGATGCTGTCTTTACCAAGTGACCAAATTAACATTACCAGTGATAAGTAATATGGATATCATCTATCCCCTGATATGATGTGATGAGAAAGGCATTTCACCTTTGATAATCTCCCCCCCCCCCCGCAAAATGTAATTCTTACATAGGCAAGAGAAAGATATCATTCAAACCCAAATTGAGGGACATTTTATAAAATACCTGGTCAGTACTCTAACTATCAAGGTTATGAAAAACAAGGAAAGACTGAGCAGCTGTCATAGAGCAGAGGAGACTAAGGAGACCTGATGACTAAATACAATGCAGAATCCTGAATGGGATCTTGCAACAGAAAAAGTACATTAGTCAACAAACTGGTGAAGTACAAATAAAGTCTGGAGTTTAGTTAATAGTAGTATATCAGTGTTACTCTTACTTTTGATAAATGTACTATAGTTACCTAAGATGTAACACTATAGTTGGCAGAGGGTTATACAAGAATTCTCTGTACAGTTGTCCCTCAATATACACAGGGGATTGGTTACAGGACCTTCAAGTGTAGCTAAATCCGCATATCTCAAGTCTTGCAGTTAAAAAGTCAGCTTTCTAGGCTGGGCACGGTGACTCATGCCTATAATCTTAGCATTCTGGGAGGCTGAGGCAGGTGGATTGCTTGAGCTCACGAGTTCTACAAATAGAAAAACGGAGGCAAGAGGATCACTTGAGCCCAAGAGTTTGAGGTTGCTGTGAGCTATGATGCCATGTCACTCTACCCAGGGCGACAGCTTGAGACTCTGTCTGAACAACAAAAAATAACCAGTCATCCTTTCATATGCACAAGTTTTGCATTGCACAAATACTTACGTATAAGTAGACCCACACAGTTCAAACCAATATTGTTCAAGGGTCAATTGTGGTATCTTTGTAGGTTTTATGTTATTCTAAAATAAAAAGTTTTCTTTACTTAAAAAAAGAAACCATAAGTTTAAACTATTAATAACAAATGTATAGACGAGTGTCAGACCCGGTAGGTTGCAGCCAGGCAGCGTATGTGGCAGACGCGGAACACGCGGGAGCTTTCTTGCTGCTCTGCCAGAGCTCTCTGCACCACCGTCCCCGGGTGCGGGCCAGGGGAAGCCAAGGAACAAGGGGGTGCCAACGGTCCGGCAGGTCTGTGGCCTGAGTCCAGGAGCGCCTCGGGCAGTGGTCGCGAGTAGGTCCCCACGGCTGCTGCCATGACGGACTCTCCCCAGAGGGGACTCTTTCTCAGCGTTTGCTGCAGAGAGAGATGAGGGGAGGCTTCTGGCTGCAGGACTGTGAGATGGCTAAGTGGCCGACCAGTTACGGGGATGCTGTGGACAGCCACCTCCATCCTACTAGACAGGCTCATTTGGTTCCAGCAGCTCCCACTGGACAGCATGTTCCCGCAGAGGCCGCCTGCCGCCCTGGTCGCCTGGCTGGCCGGGGGCTTACTGGCAGTGCTAGCTAATCAGTGCCGCTTCGTGACGGGCCTGCGTGTGCGGCACGCACAGGATATCGCGCAGCTCTATGGTCGCCTCCGCCTCTACTCGGAAAGCTTGCGCTGCGTCCTCCTCTGCCGCCTCTGGCTCCGGCTACACGGCCGCCCTGGCCATGCTGCTGTCTTTATGGCAGCGCACGCCAGCGTCTTCGTGTGGGAAGAGGAGAGGATCCAAGAGGAGGAGTTGCAGAGATCCATGAATGATATGAAATGGTTGGAGGAAATGTGAAATATGTTTCAGAGTTCTGGAATCAGGTGCCAACCTCCAGAACCAAAATCCCAAACAGAAGGGAATGAAGATTTGCAGGGCAAAGAGCAGCCATGGGAAATGGTGACGGATAAGAAACACTTCAAGCTGTGGCAGCATCCAATTACAGGCACCCAGCTTTACCAGTACAGAGTTTTTGGAACTTACACAGATGTGATACCACGGCAGTTCTTCAATGTTCAGCTAGACACAGAGTATAGAAAAAAGTGGGATGCCCTGGTGATCAAGCTGGAGGTGATTGAGAGGGATGTGGTTAGTGGTTCTGAGGTTCTTCATTGGGTAACCCATTTTCCTTATCCAGTGTATTCACGGGATTATGTTTACGTTTGGCGGTATAGTGTCGATCGGGAAAACAACAGGATGGTGTTGGTGTCATGTGCTGTGGAGCACCTTAGTGTGCCAGAATCACCGGAATAGATCATGCGAGTCCCAAATGGTTATCCATCCCCACAAGTCATTTGATGAGAATGGCTTTGACTACTTGCTGACATACAGTGACAATCCTCAGACTGTGTTTCCTCCCTGTGTTAGTTGGATGGTTTCCAGTGGCATGCCAGACTTCCTGGAGAAGCTGCATATGGCCACTCTGAAAGCCAAGAACATGGAGATTAAAGGACTACATCTCAGCTAAGCCTTTGGAAATGAGTAGTGAAGCCAAGGCCTCTGCCCAACCCTCGGAGCTGAAGAATGAGGGTGGTTGTAGCCCTGCTCAGATTGAGTATGCCTGAGGGGCTTTGGGATAAGAAGGGATAGGTTTCCAGCCCTGTCTCAATCCCTTATCACTCTGCTATGGAATGGGGACAAGCCACATGTATTAGAAGGCGTCTTCTGTAACTACCAGTACAAGATAATTCAATAACTGGTGTCTGATTTTGTTCAGAGCCCTTTTTGCTCTTATCAACACAGAGAGAAGAAGGCGACATCCATGGGGATGTTGCCATAGTCTCAGGCCAACCATTTTGAAATTCAGTATTCTACTGAACTAATCTGGAACAAACTTCTCACCTCAGGCCAGAAGGGGATGACCTTCATTTGTTTCCTGAGTAGTTTCCTCTGCTGACGTTCCAAATCTCACTATTGGTTTTGCAGTGCTTTTGATTTCCTTTAGTTCTGCCGGTCCACCTAGAAAGTGTAGTTGACTGGTTGAATCTATCAAATGAGGGGGTCGCTGGAATGTTCTTGGTGACAGTTGATGTGAATGGATGTGAACAATACTTGGCCATGTTAAGTGCCTTGTCCTTACCTTGCTTTTATCTTTAGGGACATGAAGTTTGTACCAAGAAATTTCTCTCTTTCCCTGCATAATACCACCCCATTGACTAACTTTATTTACCCAAAGCAGTTTCCTTTGAATTGGCCAGTTCTTCAGTATTCATCTAACTGTATACCTTGGATCATTGCCTCTTTCCTCACCTTAGCCCATTTATGAAGAGTACTGGAAGATGAGTCCTTTTAGATAGTAGCTCTGTTTATCATCAGTGTGTTGATAGGGTCAGTGGAGATGCTCAAAACATCGTATTTGAATTTAGTTTAAATTTTTTTAAACTTTGGGTCAAAAAGGAGGAGTTGGGGGAGTTGTGCAGAATATAGTCCCATTGTATAGAAAACACTTTAGATTTAGGCATTATTTTTCAGACTTATGTTTGACTTGTCCTTTTTGGAAAGTTAAAGGCAGAGGAATGGTGGCTGGGCCACTGTCTCGGAGCTCTTAGGTCTGTAGATAAGCAGTGTGAACTCATAGATGTGATCTTGCCCCAAATACTAATATAGTGGGGATTTGATATATGTGACTCTCTTGTTTCTGTAAAAAGATTTTCCTTCTCTCTTCAGAGCTAAAAACCAGCTATGGTGTTCAGATAAGGCCACATCAGATGGTATCAGTTTGGCCTAGCTGGTTTCGCTATGGTCATGCTGCAGTCTCTCAGGAGAATAGGGATCAAGTTTTAAATCTTCCTCCCTCCTTTTTTTCTGGAGTTTAAGTGGCCAGATTTTTCCCTTTTTTTCTTTTTCCTTTCTTTTTTTCCCTGCTTGCTACCCTTTTGTGGTGTTGAAAAGGTGTTATAAACCTGAGACTAAAATAAACCTTTCCTTGACCTCCTTGCCTGTTCAGATTTGTGCCAAGGAAGTAACTGCCCCAGTGTTTTATGTCTTGCCTTCTCTGAGTTGTTGGCATAGCAGAGAGAGATGCATTGAACAGTCCCAGCTTCTTTTCATTAATCACTTCTCTCTTCTCCCCAGGACCTGACAAAAAAGCAGGAAAGAGACCCTGGGTTATGTCTGAATTTAGCACCTGTGATCATTGGGGCATGGATGGGTGTGGGTGTATGTGTGTACACAGGTGCTGAGAAGTTGTGGTTACTCCGTGTTCTGACTTACGGCAATTTGACTCTGTACTTGGGGTCTGTCTGTACGGTTACTTATGTAAGTGTATTGATTTCACTCCTAACTGTGACATTTTTATCAAATGTGTGAATAAATACATAAAGATTGGTACAAAAAAACAAATGTATATTTCTAAGATAGTTATTAGATAATAAGGAATTCTTAGGGATTTTTTGAATTTTTTTATTTCCAATTAATATGAGACTAGTTTTTAATGGGTAATTTTGGCACCATGGTTATGTTACAACAAAGGGCCCTTACATTTTGTATAACATGTTATTGATGTCTGGGATTTGCCTCAAAATCAGGCAAAAGGTGGTAGTGGGTCTTAGATTGTATACAGGTAAAACAAGATTGACCAATGCATTTTTCTTTTGTTTTGCTTTTTGGTCTGAGACAGGGTCTCCCTCTGTTGCCTAGGCTAGAGTACAGTGACCTCATCATAGCTTGCTGCAGCTTCACACTCCTGGGCTCAAGCGATTACCCCATATTAGCCTCCCAAGTAGCTGGGATTATAGATGTGTGCTACTGCTCTCAGCTGATTTTTCTATTTTTTTGTAGCGATGGGGGTCTCCCTTTTGTGCAGGCTGTTCTTATAGACTCAAGTAATCCTGTGTCAGCCCCCCAAAATACTGGGATTACAAACATGAGCCACCATGTTGGGCCCCATTGTGTTGTTAATTATAGGAACAGGGTAATGAATACATGAGACTCTTTCCTGTCTGCTTCTGAAAATTTCCACAATATAAAATTTATTTTTAAGTGAGAGAGAAATTACAGAGTTTTTATTTAACTTTTACATTTTTGCTTTTATTTTATTTTGTTTATTTATTTTTAGGGACACTCTCATCCAGGCTGGAGTGCAGTGGCATGATCAGAGTTCACTGCAGCCTTAAACTTCTGGGCTCTAGTGATCCTCCCACCTCAGCCTCCAAAGTAGGTGGGACTACAGGTCCATGCCACCATGACTAGCTGATTTCTTAATTTTTTTGTAGAGACACTGTCTTGTTATGTTGCCCAACCTGGTCTTCCACTCCAAGCCTCAAGTGATCCTCCTGCTTCAGCCCCCCAAAGTTCTGGAGTTATAGGTGTGAGGCACTGTACTAGGCCATGTTTTTTCTTTTCTTCTTCTTTACTTTCTTTTTTTGGGAGGGGGAGGAGACACAGTCTTACTCTGTCACCCAGGCTAGAGTACACTGGCATTGTGGTAGCTCACTGCAACCTCAAACTCCTGAGCTGATGATTCTCCTGCCTCAGCCTCTTGAGTAGCTGGGACTATAGGAGCACGCTACCACGCTTGGCTAATTTTTCTATTTTTTTAAGAGATGTGGTCTTGATCATGCTCAGGTGAGTCTCAAACTCCTGGACTCAAACAGTCCTTCCCCCGCTGCCCCCCCAGATTGCTAGGATTATAGGCATGAGCCAGTGTACCTGGCCTAACTTTTAAAATTTTATTCTTATATATCATATCTCTGAAAATCTGTGTTCCCTGCCACATTAGCACACTTATCTGCTTTATCCTACCACTTTAAATATACTGTATTATAAAAAGTGAGACTACTGAGTGTTGATTAATTTTAAATCACTTTAAATAACTCTTTGCTTTGTGGTATGCCGTAAGTTTGATGTAGATAGATTTGGGTTTGTTTATATTTCCATTTGTTTTTTAATTGAAGTTATTGATATAATTGTAGATTCACACGCACTTACAAGAAATAATACAGAGAGATTGCTGTAGACTTTGCCTACTTTCTCCCAACATTAACCTTCTGTAAAACTAGTATTAATATGATATCATAGCCAAGATATTGATAGTGATACAATCCACTGTATCAGTTTTTAATTTTCAGGATTGCCTTTTTTTTCCTTATTTTAATTTTGGTTTTAAATTATGAAAATATTTATATAAGTCAAATCTCTGAATAGAGTTTATTCAGAAATATATGGTTTGCATCACTGTCAACATTCACCTTCTTGCCCTAGAGAAAACTATTTTTTAAAATTAGTTTTTGTTTTTTGTTTAAAAATATAAGAAGATATGTGTTTATACCACTCCCCCTTTTAAAACACGGCCATATACTCTCCTTTAAAACTTGATTTTATTTTAATTTAAGAATATGAAAACACTGGGAATCACTCCACAGCAGTGTGTAGACATCTTTTTCATTCCCATTTATACCTGTTTAATACTCCATTATGGTATAGAATAGTTTATTAAACCATTCCTCTATTAATGGACATTTGGATTATTTGCTGTCTTCTGTTACGTGAAAATCCTTATACATATGTCATTTCATACTATTGCTAATGTCAAATTCCTTGTATAAATGTTATGTTACTTTGCATTCCAATCATCATTATACGAAGTTTATAGGCTTTAATTGTGATTTAAAGAACTGTACTAACCGCTTAGTCATATTAATTAGTGTATACCTTACTTCATTGTAAAACTTATCATGTTTACAAGTCTGGACAAAGAGTCATAGATAAATTCTGATCTATTTTATGGCCCTTGTTCACATCTGTGAACTTGACGAGAATTCTATTAACTAGAGTAGACTTCTTGTCATGTAAGGTCACTGGGTCCAAGACAATATGTAATACTCAGAAGTAGAGATAAGGCCGTTTGTCCCTCTTCTGGTTGTTTACTTTGTAGTAAGTAGGCAGTGTCATTAAATCTTACAAGATATAAAAGATATACTTGTCAAAGATAGACTCTTTTTTTTTTTTTTTGAGACAGAGCCTCAAGCTATCCCCCTGGGTAGAGTACTGTAGCATCACAGCTCACAGCAACCTCCAACTCCTGGGCTCAAGCGAGTCTCTTGCCTCAGCCTCCCAAGTAGCTGGGACCACAGGCGCCTGCCACAATGCCCGGCTATTTTTTGTTTGCAGCCGTCATTGTTGTTTGGCGGGCCAAGGCTGGATTCAAACCCACCACCTTAGGTGTATGTGGCTGGCGCCTTAGCCACTTGAGCCACAGGCGCCGAGTCAAAGATAGACTCTTAAAATAATACTTATTCTAAAGTTATTCTTCATCTAAAATAATACTATTCTAAAGTTATTCTTCATCTTTCTTATGTACACCATTGAGGACTCAAGAGGTTCATAGGAAATGGGAGCAAGATCTTGATGGACCTTTTTAAGACACGGGAAGGATTTTAGGATTTATCTTAAAAATGTGGGTAGATACCATAAGGCATATGATCAAGATCACCATTTTTAAAGATTTTCTTTTGGCTGGGAGCACGTTTGGATGTAGGGAGAATTGGGAGGCCATCACAGTAGTTCATTGTGGACATTAGTTCATTGTGGACATAGTTCATTGTAGCTAGGATAGATCAGTGTGAGTGAAGAACAAAGGAAGTGAATATTGTTTGCAGATATTTAGGAATTAGAAGGTGCAGGATTTGATGATTAGATAAATGAAATAAAGAAGGAGTAGGAGTCTAACTTGCCACTCCATCACTAGCTTGAGAACTTGATATTTGGTGGTGCCACTTACTAACTTGGGCAACCCTGGAAGTAGATGATGAAATACATTGGACATGTTGAGTTTGAAGTTTCTGTAGTACATCTGAATGAAATTGTTAAACAGAAAGTTGGATATGTAGATTGTGAACACAGAGCGAGATCTTGGATGGTTGAGAATGGTTGCTATTTAGATGATTTGGAAGAGTATATAAAGGGAAAAGAAGATTGAGGTTCTTTCAAATTTTAAAATTTTAGAACAGGAGCAAGAACAAGCTAATAAGATAGACAAGGAATAGCTGAAGAGATAGAAGAAAAATCACAACAGGAAAGGGGCACAGACGCCAGGTAAAAGAGTATGTCAAGAACAATATTATAGGAAAATGAAGGGTTTGAGTACTTTTTGGTTCTGTCCTTCACTAAACTCCAGTATTCCTTAACCAATGTCCAACGTTCATGCTGTATACATCCCATTCTGGCTCATTTCTAAGATGTGTGTGCCCTATTCAGTAACTATTAGTATATTTTTGCTGCCATTTTGTATTCCTATCTGATATCTCATTTCCTTAGTGAGTGAAAGAACATTAGAAGACAAATGGAGAGGCCTATGCTATTGTCCTTGCTCTACCACCAACTTTAATAATTTTGTTTCTTAATACCTATTACATGTGACATATAGCTAGAATCTCAAGACAAAAATGGCTAGACATGGAAACACTTACAATGAGAGGAAAATAGGAAGAGAAAAAGCCATCACAGAAGGGGTGATACAGTGACCTGAAGATGATTAAGAGTTTGCTGTGTGGTAATGGAAGAGATGAAACTAGATGAAATTAGCAAAAATTTTGTAAAGATATAAAAATCTCATGAAATTCAAACAAAGAAAACAGAATTGTTTATTTGGACTGAAGAAAAATAAATAAATATTTGTAGATTGTTTTAAAAAAAAGACAAAACAGAATGAAGCAGGCCTCATAGCAACTAGGGGGGGAAAATCTCATGAGCTGAAGTTACTACTCTTCTTTCTTCAGAGTTTTGCATCTGCCATGTTCTGCAAATACCAGCTTTCCCTATTTACTCAAGGGCTTGGGCATAACCCCAAAACAAGCTCCCCAGTTTCCAAATTTGCGTGACCTTAAAGCCCATGTAATTTTTTCTTCACATTCTAGAGAAAAAATATACATGAATGAGTGAATGGATTTATGATTGTCTCAATTGCCCTCTATTTTTCTTTTCTAGAACTAAGTACCCTAAATTGTTGACCTGACCCTCTATGAATAACTTTCTTTTGAATCAGGAATCTGTTCCATGTTCAGCCAGGGGCAAATAAAACCCCACTGCTGTTTCCATGCTTGGCCCTAAGGTTCTAGATGAGAGAGTCTAATAGAATATAGATGGCAAGTTGACTACATGAATGGGAAAGGTGATAGACATCATAGTCAGGGCAAAGGGCATGGGGAATGGCTAGAAATATGAGTCAGCTTGTGTGGTTGGGGCACTACGAGTGATGGTCAGCTATGATTTTGGAACAAGGTGCAAGATGAGAGAATGACTAAAGATAAGTCTGGGCATGTAATAAAACTATTGGTGTGTGCACTTCAGCAGCATGCACACTAAAATTTGAGCAATACAGAGAAGATTAGCATGACCCCTACAGAAAGATAACATGCAAATTTGTGAAGTAGTCCATATTAAGATAAAAAAAAACCATTGGTGATTGTAACTACACTTTTTATTGTCTCTTAATTCCTCTCAATAACCCACTAAGGTCAATTGTATGTGCCTGTTTGTCTATCTGTCTTTGGAATGAATATGGCAAAGATATGGTATGTCTTTCTTACTTTGAAAGACAGTATCAAAGAACCAATATAGACAAAAGCACAGTTAAATAGAGATGAAAAGTACAAAAGAGAAGCTGAGAGTAATGGAGGCCAGATTGAAAATATCTAACATACATGAACAGGAATTCTAGCATAGAGGGTCTGATGAGGCGGCGGGGCTTTACTTAAAGAGATGGTAGCCCAAAACTTTCCTAATTGAACAAACATGATCACTTCAGATAAAAATTAGGTTTGAGGAAGAAAATTACTAATTAATTCTTGGATCATTTGAGTTTGTTGTAGATGTCTAATTCAAACTGTCTACATGAGTCTGATCTCCAGGAGAAGTGGGGCTAGAGATAAGACTTTAGGAGTCATTACTATTAGCATCTGATCCATTTCACCTCTTGGCACCTCAATTTCTATCCTGCCAACATGTGAGAGTGAAATGAAATGTGAAAGTACGCTGATAATCACACTAGAACATGTTACCATCATGTTTACTGTCATTGTCATAAGTTCTATTTGTGAGCCTCAGGATTAGAAGTTAAGAAAGAGCTCAGGAACCTGGACCCAGATTGCCTTAGTCAAATCCTGGCTCTGCTACTCTGTAACTCTGTGACCTTGAACAAATTATATGACATTTTTCTTAAGTCTCGATTTCCTTATCTGCAAAATAGTACCAATCTCCTAGTGTTATTATGAGAATTAAATAAATTACTACTTCTAAAGCACTTAAAATGTTGCTTGTCATATAGTTAAATGCTTAGTAAATCTTTTAGTCTATACTAATTGATGCAAATTTGGCACCAGAAGCCAGACTATAATAATAAAACAACATATTTTACATTGCTTTAAGAGATTTGCTTAGGTGGTACAAAAACTGTTATTATAGACTAGAAAGATATTTATTCATGTTGTATAGTAAAGAAACAAATGACAAACCAGTGAAATGTAGTAATTTTGCAATCTAGATAATTTATCTTCTGACCTTGTAAGTTTCAGAAATCTTCAGTATCTTATTCCAAAAGAGAGACTAATATAAAAAAATCATAGTCTATGAGGATAATAAATTTAAGTATCTGTGTCTTCCTCAAGTATCATTTTAGTTAACCACTGGCTTTTATTTGTTCATGTAAAGAGTTGTGTTGCTGTGTGCAAATTGGCCATGATGTGATTTGAACATTCAAGGACTCCTATTTTTTTCTTGGTTATGTCTAGAAATAATTCATGGGTATATGGGATTTTCTCCTGAGGACATAATAAAGGTTCCTTTTTATTTTTTGCTAAGTTGAAACAAGTTATTTTTGGGCATATACCTGTGCTTATGCCTTTGTTTATATCTATATATATCTGTAGTTTGTAATTACAGACATTAATATTTTCATTTTAGCTAGGAACTTGCCTGGAAGTGAGAGTTACATCAGCTAGTTTGATTTCAGAGTGCAGATGGCAGTGAAATGAAAACAGAAAACTAATGATTAACTGTGTGATTATTTTATAATCTCTGGTGTGTTTGTTCATGATGAGATCGTTTTTCAAATTAGCCTACCTTCGTCATCTGCAAGGTCACATCAGGGCTGGTGTGATTTTTTTATAGCTCTATAGATGTTCTGTGAAACAGATAAACAGAAGTTATGCCAGAAGTGGAACTGTCAAAGAATGACCCCCATTTCTTGAATTGTACAAGCAACTAAAAGGAACCTGTTGCAGTTTTCATATCTACATTGTTTGAAGGGTACTTCCTCTCCTAAAGGAGCTTTACTGTCAGTGGTTGCAAGGGCTGCAGTGATGAACCTGCCTCTGAATGAAAAGAAGGCTTTGCATAGCAAAGACAGAAAAATAGAAAGAAGAGCTGGAGAGACTTAGAGAAAAATCACAGATACTCATCTATATCAGGGTTATAAGAACTTATGCAGGATAAAAAGCAAACTGATACAGTGATTATGATTGATTTGCCTAGGTGGCCAACTCCCACCTGAAAAAGTAAGGAGGACTAGATCAAAGGTCTAAAAAAATTTAAAAAATATCTGTGTTTAAACCAACTGAACTAACATCTAGTAGATAAATTGCATGTATTAAATAATCAGATGTAAAGTATTTACACAGCTTATTTTTTACAATGAATAAAGTCAAAAGATTTAAGTGGAGAGGACCTGGGCTTTTGGACACTTAGACCTATGCAAGCATAACTGGGGCCATTCAGTAACCAGTGTCTCAGTTGAACTCTACAGATCTCTTTTTGAATATAGAAACAATAGTAGCTTGGAAACTTAGTCCTACCTAGCACCATGAAACCCTGTCTGTCTCTTGGTCAGCTGGAAAAGAACTTGTGAAAATTTGCAGTAATTAAAAAAATCCCCTTGAAGAAATAGAATGTCACCATTCTCTCAATAACCCCTGAAGTCTATATTAAGGCAAGGACAACTCCCTCCTTCAAAATGGTGAGCAGGAAACATGGAGTTGTGCACTGGGCTAAAAAGCAAGAGACTGAGGTTCTAGTTCTAGTCTGCCATTCATTAGTTACTAACCTAAAGCAAGTGTTTAAATTAATTATACTTCCAGTTCTAAAATTGTATAATGTAACACATTGTGATTTGTATCTGGAGGTTCTTCTCCATCATTTTAGCATTAGAGGTTGGGGAGGGTAGTATTTAGCTGTGAGGATTAGTAAGAACAACAAAAGATAACAGTAAAGTTCTTATGTGGTAAAACAGAACGGGGCTGTTGGTCTCATTTGCCTTCCTTTTTTTCCTGGGAATTTTAGATAACCATACAGAGAGGTATATTAACATAAATAACTGATCTTATCTTACCGGTTGCTATCTCTTGTAGCTGGAGTTTGTTTATCCACTAGGAGGCACCATTGTCAAACAACATTGATTAGTGGTCTTGAGATCTTGCTCCTTTAAGCAACTGGACATTTGTAAATGTGGTGGGACCCTAGAAATGGTGGCAAATCAATATTTGATATCTAGATGGGTATTAGAACAATTCTCAGTTTCTAAAACTTGATAAACAGTATCTTACACATTTAAATTTTAAAAGTAGCAAAATCTTTCAAGCTATTATTTTTTTCAAAGAAACAAAATTTTGTAGGATATAGATCTCATCGTTTTATTGAAAAGTCATTGTTGACCCAGAAAGGCTAAGTATCAGCCTGATCAAGGTCTGCCAGGCAGTTAAAGATAGACTTGAGTCTAGAACTAATGTGTAGAGGGCATTTCTCATTGTTTTTGGTCATTCCAACATCAGAACCCTCTTCCAATATTTGAAGAAGCTTTCATCTTAAGATTCTTGACAGGGGACAAAGTTGTATCAAGCTAAAAATGCCAAATACTTGCTCTCCTTGGTAGTTATGATATGGGCATGTAACATAGGTTGCATGAGCCAGACACATCCACCCATGGAATAGCCAGTGACAAAAAAACAAAGACCACTCTTAGGTAGCAGGATGGAAGATTCCAGGGATAGCTGTAGTAGCAACACTTGGAATGGACTCCAACATGTAACATTAGCAGGGACAGTGGTGCAGGCTACAGCAGTTGTGTAGGAAGGACAGCTGCAGTGGTGCTCTCATCAGTTTACGGTTAGGTGACTGCATAGCACCACTCTTGGTTTACAGGCCTCTCTACCATTCTATGAGCAGTCCAGTGTCCTGTTAATAAACTCCTTTTCTGCTTAAATCCATCAGAGTTCATTTATGCTTCTTGTAACTAAGAACCTTAACTGACCCAAAGTTCTGTAGAGTTGGCCCCTTCTGTATCCACAAGTTCTGTATCCTTAAGTTCAATTGAAAATATTCAAAAAATAAAAATAAAAAATAACACAATAATAAAAACACAAATTTTAAAGTATGATATTTACATAGTATTTACGTTGTATTAGGTATTATAAGTAATCTAGAGATGATTTAAAGTGTACAGGGGAATGTGTGTAGGTTATATGCATGTACTAAGCCATTTTATATCGGGGAGTTGAGCATCTGCAGATTTTGGTATTTGAAGAGGAAAGGGGAGTCCTCCACAGATACCAGGGGACAACTGTGCCAGAAATGAGTAGATGAGGAATGGCAGAAGACACCATTATAAGATGTGGAATTAGGGGCCTTATCCAGTGGTTGTAAAATATGTGCTTGGACTGGTACCTCTTATATCTAGGGATATCAGCCATAGCCTAAGAAGGTTCTAAGATTAGAGATGGAGCTAAAGGTATGGCAGAAAAAGAAGGCAGGCAGGCAAAGGGCCAGATATCTAAGATGTCATGTTCTGAGGAGGAACTCTTAGGAACCAAATAATTCTTTTTTTTTTTTCTTTTCCTTTTTATTGTTGGGATTCATTGAGGGTACAAAGAATTAGGTTATACTGATTGCATTTGTTAGGTAAAGTCCCTCTTATAATTGTGTTCCATCCCCCAAGAGGTGTGCCATACACCATAACCCCCTCTCCCCCTCCCTCCTCCCCTCTACCCACTCCCTTCTTCCCCTACCCCCACTTGTAGTAGATCATCTACTGCCTTCATATTAGAACTGAATACATTGAATTCTTGCTTCTCCATTCTTGTGATGCTTTACTAAGAAGAATGTTCCAACTCAATCCAGGTTAATACAAAAGATATAAAGTCTCTACCTTTTTAATGGCTGAATAGTAATTCCATGGCATATATATGTATATATACCACAGCTTGTTAATTCATTCCTGGGTTGGTGGGCATTTAGGTTGTTCCCACATTTTGGCGATTGTAAATTGAGCTGCAATAAACAGTCTAGTGCAAATGTGCTTATGATAAAATGATTTGATTTTTCTTCTGAGTAGATGCCTAGTAAAGAATTCTTAATAGAACCTAACCTTTCAGGTCGTTATGGTGACCTATTTGT